GGATGTACTGAGGAGCCCTTCTGGAGAACAATTTGGCAGAATGAGCTTCTGTCTGGGCACTCTCTCCTCGGGACAGGATGAGCATTACCCACCAAGATGCTCAGCAGAGCCTCATGTATGACAGCAAAACGGATCTGACTGCCTGGATCTCCACAAATAGCCAAATAATTAAGCGAATTATAATCTCTTGAGAGAATATTATTCAGCCATTAAAAATTGTAATTACAGCCCTGAGGACTGCCTTAATACATCCTGGGTGCTGGATAAATTCGTAGTTCCTTCTTCGCACAGTTCAAGTTCTTTCTTGATTTTTGCAATAGGCGCTTACTGCTTTCAAAATCTTAAAAAAATTAAACTGTATCTATTTTGAAAAATTCATTTAGGAAGGGATTATATTAATAAAGAAAATGCTTATGTGAAGTAAAAAATAGATTACACAATTGTGCCCATGGTATAATTACAGTAATGTGAAAATAAACGGCCTATGCTAAGAAAGCGGAGTGGGAACCAGTCCAATAGGATGGAAACACTGGTTTGCATTCTGGTGATAGGATGGTGGGGGTTCCTACGTCTTCTACTTCTCTGTGTTTTATGAGTCTTCTATAAAGAGCATGCATGTTAAGAGCATTATTTTTAAATGGAAAGAAATAAATGTTATTATTTTTTTAAACCCAAGAACCTTGCCCATCTGTGCAGAGCTGCTTGGCCCCGCCGGCCATGTTCCAGGTGAGCGAGCTGGAGGCACATGGCAGGAGCCTAATCAGAATGGAGCAGGGCCAGATCCACACTTGCCCCAAGCTAGTGAGTGCCAGGGCCTCGTGGAGGTCTGCTCCCAGAATGAGGCGCTCTCTCGCCATGTTTGTGGGGGCACCTGGGCCAGCCCTTCGCAATGGTGGCAAAGGCTCCCAGACTCTCAGGCTGGCGACAGGCAGGCTGCCCGGAGGCGTCCACACCCACTTGACCCACTCCCCTCCAAGGAGTCATGGGGGGATGGAGAGGCAGGGCAGTGAGCTCAGGGTCCGGGTGTCTGCACTGGCTCTGAAGTGGTGCTATGTGACAGAAACTTCTGGAGTGACGGAAATGTTCTCTATCTGCCCTGTCTGATACAGTAGCCACCAGCCACGGGTGTCTATGGAGCACTTGAAATGTGGCTAGTGAGACCGAGAAACCAAATTTTAAATTTTGCTTAATTTTAATTAAATCACCACTTGGGGCTAGTGGTTACTTCATTAGACTGCGAGGCTCCAGACGGGGTCTCAAGATTGCTGCTGCAGGAAAGAAGTTCTCATTGGAATAAAGGGGCTCCCTTTTACTGAGGGACCTATGTACAGAACCCGAAGCAGGCTCAGGACCACTTCAACTAGGGCGCTCCCCGATAACACTGACCTAGCCCCCCATCCGCCCAACTCTGATTTCAACCCAAGTCTCTGGAAACTTCTTGTGCTCCAAGTCCCCTGACAGTCCCCAGAGGTGGGAATCAGGAGAAATCTCCGGCCCTTTCCTCCCACCTGGACCTTTCCCCTTCATCCTGTAGCTCTGGTTCGTTGGGTTCTGCCACCTACTCAGCCGCGTGACCTCGATTTCCTCCCCTTCCCAACCCTGGCAACCCAGGACACTCAGCCTTTACTCCTGCATCTGAGATCCTCTTTCCCTCCATCCTGGTGACGTGTGAGCTCAGATCCCGCTCTCCAGGCGGTACCCCAGGCCACCTTCCAGCACCTCCCACCCAACAGAAGGTGCATAGGCAGGGGAGGGCTTTCCAGCCAGGTGCCACTTGGCCTGGCTTCTGCCAGCTTAGGCAGGACAGGGAAGAGAGGAGCAGTGAGGAGCCAGAGCCCCAGCTAAAGAAGTGGCCTTCTGGGAAATGATGGGGCTGGAGAGGAGACATCTGCACATTCCAGGTCTCTGCCTGCCCTTCCCAGCAAAGATACAGCCAGAACCTGGATGCTGGGCCCGTCTCAGAGATGGCACTGGTGAGGTTCCTGGGCAGCACACCATCAGATTTGAGCATCTGCTTTTGGTGCCACCGCCCCGGTCCCCATCTACTAGCTGCCATTTACACACACCGAGACTGCTCCTTTGTAGAGGTGACCCGAAGGGGCCACGCAGACTTACTGAGGAGTAGATCATTCCCCAACTTGCCTTGGATCAGTATCACTCCATGGTTTGTCCATTTCTCTCAGTGGGTAGATGGGGGCACAGTCGGCTCAGCTTCTGAGCTGCAGGGTCTTCCCAGGGCTAGAAGTGCCCTCGATAAGTAGCTCATGTGTACAACTAATGGCCTGCCTTCCAATCTTGGTTTTGCCACCTGCTGGCTGCGTGACCTTGGGCAAGTTGCCTAACCTCTCTGGGCCTCAATCTCCTCACCTGCAAAATGGGGATAGTAATGGCCTTGGCTTAATTTGGTTGTTGTTTCAACGAAGTGAGGGAATATCGTGAAGCACTGAGAAGAACCGTGCCTGGCACATGAGGCGTGCCATTATTGTTACTGTCATTACCGACATTATTTAATGTGCTCATAACCTCTGATGGAGACAGCAGCCTTCAGTTTAAAATTGGAAGGAGGGAGTGCAATGAGCATAGCCCACATACGTGCCTACAACTGATCCGTAAGTGGGAGGAGGAAGCTGGGCCTGGCTTTGCTGGCTTCAAGAGAACCAGCCGAAGCTCAGCTCTCAAAGCCCCCAGGGATCCAGGGCACTCTCTATAAGCCACGCTGGGGGAGGCGGAGGGACCGAAGCTGACCCCAGCACCCTTGGCTGCCTTCCTGGGCTGGGAGAAGATGTTCTGGGATGGAGAGCGCTCACTGACTCAGGGCCTGGCCTCTCCCCACTCGCTCACAAATGATTCAACCTCCAAAGCTCCGGCTCAGAATCCTGAAATGTCAGCAGAGTCTCGGAGACCCACCCCTACCCTCCCCAGGCCTGGAGCAGGCAAGGGACTTGGCCAAGGTCACAAAGACCATCAGGCCCGGAGCTGGCACCAAAATAGAGCTCCTGGCTAGGCCGAGACACCCCCTACCAGCCTTCTTTGCCCCTCGGGGTCCTGCTGCAGCATCTCAGCTGCTTGTGGCTCTCTCCCCAGTGCACTCTTACCCTCGGGGGCTTCCTTCCCCAAGGGATGGCTTTCCTTCTGGCTCTGCGCAAAGCCCCCTCCCACGCCACCCCAGTTCCATCTGCCTGCGTTACCCTCCCCCCCAACACACATACACTTCTGTGCCAGAGCTGCCTGCCCCTTCGCTCAAACCACCTGGCAGCGCTGGGCAGGGCCCAGGTTGATTTGATCAAGACTAGCTGTGTCCTTGGCCGTCTCTCTCCTCCAGGCCAACAGCAGGGACAATCAATGCCCTGGGACCGAAACTGCCCAGCCCCTTCCAGTTGGCTCGCTCTCCAGGGCCCAGCTCCACCCGCGGACACTCTGCCAGCCTCTTGTCTGTGGGCCAGTTCTGGTAGGGGCTCCCAGCGCCCTGCTCACGAGCCACATGGCCTTGGTTTCCTCAACTGTGAAAGGGGGCAGTGCAGAGAGTGGCTCGCATGTGGTGTTGACCGAGAGATTCAGCCTGGGGGGCCCAGGAACCTGCTCAGAGTGGTGCTGGGACATGTGGGAGGCGTTCTGCCCCACCAGGCTCCTGGCAGTGTCCCCAGCCCTCCACCCATCCAGGCAATGTAGGGCCAAGTCCCTTCCCCTCTCGAGGCCTCAATTATTCCAACTGAAAAATGGGAATGAAGAGCCCAGCCTTGCCTCCCTCATCGGGTGATTCTGCAGATTCAGTGAGGTCAAGGTCGTGAATGTGCCACACAGAAACCTGTGCCCACTCGGCGTCAGGCCTGTGCCGGGCACTCAAGTGCTCCCTGCCTTAAAATGCTCACAGGCTAGTGAAGGGTGATGGCGGTGAAGGGGGCACAGAGCTACTGGGTGAATGAGGGGGATGCCTTCCAGGCTGGGAGCCCGGGGAGATTGGGATGGCCAGGGTCAAGGCTGGACTCGACCCTGTGGCCAGCAGGGACCCACTTTAGGTCCAAGGCTCAATGACCTCATCTCGGAGATACTGAGTGCACCCACTTACCTGCCTGGCCCCGGGGAGTGTCAAGCTCCTAGCTGAGGGATGCTGGCCCTGCCCTGCCCCTTGAGGGAGTGTTTCCACACATTCTTCCCACCCCTCACCAGCCCTCACCCCAAGACTCCCTACATATCAGCCTGGGCCATGCCTCTACTCTGCCTGCCACCCCTCCTGTGCTGGCCAGCTGCTAAGCCTGCGGGGGCCAGCAGAAGGAAAGGGACCAGGTCCTAGAGAGAGAATCTGACTGTCCAAGGCGGAGACCCAGGGCTCCCTCCTTTGGGAGATGCCACACCAGCCTCCAAATTCCAGAATCCTAAACCCAGAGAACACTGAGGCCCCACAGGAGCAGCCATCTGGCCAAGGTCACACAGGTGAGGAGGGGGAGGACAGCTGTGCGAGGAGGGATGGAAAAGGAGTTACCCAAGTGTGGCCTGGGAGGCTTGTTGTTGGCGCTGCCCGGGCCAGTGGCGGGGTCTGCTGGGCAGCTGTGTGGGTGTGCGGGGGACAGTGTGGGAACGCGTGAGGGTTTCTCAGTGTGTTGGGGGAAGATGACACAGTGTGGGGGCGCGGGGGGGGGAGGGGGTGTCAAGAGACTCCGGGAAGGTGCGTGCGGCGCAACCTGGCTCTAGCCCAGGCCCCCGGCGCCCAGGCTGTGCCCGCCCAGGACCCCGCCCGCAGCCCCCCGCGGCCTTCCCCCCTCCACCGCGCAGATGCGCGTGCGCGCGGGATGCGGGGCGCGGGGCGCGGGGCGCGGGGTGCGGGGCGCTGCCCGCCGGCCCAGGGCCCCCGGGGTGACGCGCGGCGCCGCAAGGACACGCAGGCCGGACGCGGGGCGCAGGTGCCGTGGGCGGGGACCCGCGTCCCCCCACCTGCCGGCCGCGCCACCTGCTGGGCCGCCCGCCCCGCCCGCCCCTGCCTGCGCGCCCCAGGCACCACTTACCCGGTCCTGGGCACGGCCGACGCTGCGGCCTCGGCTCCAGAGGCTGCTGTCGCTGCAGGCGGGCGCCCGGCGGGCAACGATCCGCTCCAAGGACGGAAAGGCCCGGGCACAGGGCGGCCTGGCCGGAGGCGCCGGGCGCGACCCTCCGCGGCAGGCGAGAGCTGCGGCCGAGTGCTCCCCACGCTCCGCACTGGCGGCGGCGGGCGACGCGGCGCGCTCGGCTCCAGCCGCAGCTCTGAGCGCGGAGGGAGGGAGGGAGGAGGGAGGGAGGGGAGGGAGGCAGAGCGCGGGGGGGGGGGGGGGGGGGGGAGGAGGAGAAGGGAGGAGGGAGCGGGCGCGGGGGGCGGCGCGCGGCGCGGGGGCCGCGGGGCTCCAGAGCCACACTCCTGGCGCGCGCCCTTCTGTCCCCCAGGATGCGCGGGGAGTGCCTGTCCTTCCTGGTCTGCCAGGGCCCCCGGAGGGCGCTAGCGGATGAGAGGTGGGCTTGGCTGGAAACCTGGGGGACCTGGCACCTGGAGCACGGAGAAAGAGCGATGAGCATGTGACTGGGCCACCCGACCGCTGCTGGGTCCTCGCAAATGGAGTGTGGGGCTGGGTTGCTGATTGGTAGCCTGGGGTTCCTGGGCCCCTGTGGTTTCCCAGGGGGTCGTGATACTCTTGGAACTGCCTGCTGTTGGGAGTATGACACCTAAAAGCGTCTTTGGGAAGGAGACTGGAGCTTATGACAGATTTTCAAAGTTGGTGACCCCAAAAGGTTATCACAAAAACACCATAACACAGGACACAGAGCTACTGCACACAGGTGGACACCCAGAGACAGACGCACAGGGACCCATACATTCCAGACACAAGTGGAGACAGACCCACAGACAAACCCCAAAGCAGAGAAGACCCACACTCACCAACACACGTAGGTGCATCCATGGACAGAGACCGAGTCTGTGCCCATGGACACCCTGCAGCCAGGTGGGAGCTGGCTGGCCTGTGCCACTTGTCTTTAGAGTCCCAAGCTTCCCGGTTCCAGGGACAATGGGTGCCTCCAAACTCAGAGGAGGCCTTTGTCACCATCTGTGAGCATCAAGCAGAAGTGCAAGAGGGCTGACTCTGTAGGAAAGAGAAGTGACAGGCCCACAGTAAGCCTCACCACCTCAGAGCAGGCAGGGCTCAGAGCCCGAGAATGTGGCAGGTCGAAGACACTTGGACATAGCCACAAATTCTTTCTTGCCTTGGACAAACAGGGCCCCAGGGTGTCCCATGTGCAAGGCCCATGCTGGGCACTGGGGACACAGCAGGGGCCACAAAACAGGGAGAGGGCGGGCAGAGTGAATGTGTGGTCAGGAAGTTGGGGTAAGGGCCCCCAGGGTATATTGATGGGGGAGATTCTTTATTTATCCCCCAGGGAATAAAGACGGTGCTGGGGGCTCAAGGAAGGCTTCTAGGAGGAGGTGCTTTTGTGACAGAGACCTAGAGGATGCAAAGGGCCTGCCCTGGGCCAGGGGACTGCCACACCTCCCCAGAGTTTGTCCTACCTGCGGGAAGCAGCTGGTTCCATGAACAGCCCTTGAGACCTGGAACCCCTCAGTGCAGGCAGAGGTCACACGCACCCTCACACATGCACACACATGCTGACGTGCGTGCACACACATGCTCATTCACACACGTGGACATGCTCATCTATGCTCTGTCACACACACATGCTCACTTCCCCACACTCACTCTCACACTCATACATAATTGCACTCGCACACATTCACTCACAAGGTCATATTCACGTAGCCCACACTTGCTCACTCACACATTGCACACTCACAGGTCACTCACACATGCTCATGCCAACACATGCCCGTGAGTCCTCACTGGCCAACATGCACACGCTCACACCCAATGAGTCACACACTGTCACACTCACACACTTGTACACACTCAGTTACTCATGTACCTAGCCAACCACGCTCACGCTTACTCACGCACAATTATTTACAGACACTCACACTCGTGCCCACTCTCACCTAGTGAGCTACGCACACTCTCATATACACTCACGCACTCAGAGCCCGCTCCCATGCTCGCTCCCACGGACTCTTACACACCACTTGTGCACTTAGGGAGCTAGCAGGCCGCCCCGCAGGCAGGGGGTCGCCCCAGTGGGCGCAGCCGGCAGCCAGGTTGGCTCCCTTGGCCCCACAGCAGCCCCAGAGCCCAGTCTGCCTGACGCACTGGGCCCCGAATGGGGAACAGAAAGGCTGAAGCAAGTCCTCTGATTTCCGGAGCTCGGTGTTGCCCATTTGGCCTCCTGGCATGTGAGAGGCAGCCATCTTGGAGTTGTTCTTCTTGCTGCCCCCCAACTCAGAGGGGCACCGGACCCCACCTGAAGCCGACTGTGAAGCTGGGTGGGCCTTCACCCTGGCCAGGAACTGGGGTGCCAGCTCACCTCCCGGGGCATCCACACTAAGGAAGAGGAACCCCGAGTGGTGGGAACACCTCCTGAGAGCCTGTGGCCTCCTCCACCCCACAGATTCAGGCTGGGTCCGCTTCTTGCCCCGCCCCCGGCCCTCCCCCCCCCCCCCCCCCCGTGCGGCAGGCTTCCTGGAGTCTGGCCCAGTGGCATGTCCTTCGGTCCCAGGCCTGGGGGCCCTGGCTCTAGACCCACAGGAGGCTCTGGTGGCCCTTACAGGAGCCTCCCTTGGGCAGGAGGTGCACTCTCTGGCTGATAGCAAACGTTCAGTTATTGGTCAGCCTCTTAGCAGACATGTGTTGGCAGCTCGGGGCGGGGGGGGGGTAGGAGTGGGGAAGAAATGGGTGCTGAGTGGGAGGGGAGAGTCTTGCACGTGCAGGCCTGGGAGTGGCTGAAGAGAAGAGCTAAGACTCCCTTGGGACTTTATCACTGCCTTCCTTCAGGGACCAGGGGACCTACTGATTGCCCCTGGGGGCATGCTCATGTTGCCGATGGCTGCCGTCCACACGGGGGGCATTGGCACCCTCGCGTGAAGTCCGTCCAGCTCCCAGAGCTTGGTGCTGGCTGCCTTGGTTGGACAGTTACATGAGTCCCCTTCTCCCAGCTATGCACAGGCCACCTCTTGCTGGAGTTGCCTTGGAACACCCAGGGGGAAGAAACAAGTTGAGGGGAGAAAATCAAAGGCAGGGTATAGTCACCACCACCCCTTCGCCTCTTTCCTAGGGATACTGCCAAGGGCTAGCCCAGGCCAGAGTTGGCTGTGCCACACAGCTTTGTGATGAGGCCCGCTGAGGCCAAAGTCAGCTGACCCAGGAACGAGGTGTGTGGCCTTCAGGAGATCTGAAGGGACCGAGCCACGGCTCCACAGGGTGTCATGAAAACCCCCAGTCTCTGGCAAATGGCAATCCCCAAACAGCTAATGAGCCAGGAGGGGGATGACCCCCTTTCTGTAGTTCAAAACAGTTGGTCCCTAGCCTGTGGCCTGAGGCCAAGAGGGAGGTCTCAGACCTGGGGAGGGAGGGAGCCTGGGTGCCAGGGAAGCTCTCCCACTGTCATCGATGGCCCCTGCTCATTGGCCAGCCCCTCCTGGTTTCTCTATCTGTACAGAGGTGGGTGGGGAGAGCTTCTCTGGAAAGTTCTTCCTTACATCAAGCCCTGTCTCCTGTACTGAGAATGCTTAGGGGGCAGCTCCAGGAGGCCCACGGCTGGGGCTGGGGGTGCGGCAGGGCAAGGTGTTTGGCTGAGTGGCCCCGACCTCCCTGCTTCCCTGTACCCTCTCCCATTCCTTTCCTCCAGCCCTTTCCTGCCCCCTCCGGAGCCTTGGGCCTTGGTCCGTGCCCCTGACTCTTACATGTCAATGGCTCCCTGTCAGCTGTCTCCTCCTGGGAACTTCTCAAAGGCACTCTCGGCCCAAGAAACAAAGCCAAGAACGAGAGGCCCTCCCTCAGGCCCGTCTCCCTGCAGCCTTCACACTCACTGTGTAAGAGGAACCCACACGCCCTCTTCCTACTGACCACCCCCTCCTTGTCACCTGCCTCCCGCGCTCCCCCTCCCCCACGGCCGCATGCTTTCTTTCCCAGGTCTTCAGCCAACCGGCGCCACACCACCACACCCCTCTTCCTGGGCCCGGTAGCAGCTGCCCCTCCCCCGCTGCCTGGTTTCTCCCTGGGGACAGCAATTCCTCAGCCCAGACTTGAAGTGGGGGAACTTCTGGCTGGGCCCCAGGGCCCTCTCTTTTCAGAGTGTTCGCTTTCTCCCTGGCTGAGAGCATAGCCCCTTCCTTCTCCCCTCCTCCTAGGCCTTGGGGGCCGCCATCATGCTGGGGCCTCCCAGATCAGTACTCACCTGCAGCCCCACAGCAGGCTGAAATGTCCCCACAGAGCTGTGCGTGTCCTAAGCCCTGGAACCGACTGGGACCTTATTCGGAAACAGGGACTTTGCAGATGTGATTAAGTTAAGGATCTTGACATGGAGAGATCATCCTGGATTATCTGGGTAGGCCCTAAATGCAGTGACAAGTGTCCTTATAAGAGGGAGGCAGAAAGAGATTTCACACACACACACACACACACACGCACACACACGCACGCACGCACACACGCACACACGCACAGAGGAAGAAGCCATGTGAAGACAGAGGCAGAGCCTGGAGTGGTAGCCACAAGCCAAGGAATGACCGGAGCCCCCGGAAGCTGGGAGAGGCAGGAAGGATCCTCCCCTAGAGATTTTGGAGGGAGCACGGCCCTGCTGACACCTTGATTTTGGACTTGTGGCCTCCAGAACTGGGAGAGACTCAATCTCTGAAGTCACCTGCTTGTGGTCCTTTGTTACAGCCTCCCCAGGAAACTCCTACCAGTCCCTGACCTGTCCCCCAAGAAGTCCTGGGCCCCCTCAACCCTGCCTGCGGCATACCTCCCCTTGGACCTCCCAGGCGCTCAGCCTCAATAGAGTCTACGCCAGAGGTTCTGGAGAGCCAGGGTTCCTCTCTCATTCTCAGGAACAGCTCAGGGCTGGCTGTGGGGCAGGGCCCCTGCAGCCCTAGAGAGCCCGGGGCAGCCCTGACGCTGAAGGGCCCCTGGGCCTGCTGCACGCCCCAGAGGCTGGAGTGGGGTTGGCTTTGCCTCTTCCTGCAGCCCCTGCCCTCCCAAGACCAGAGCCCAGAGCCTGCGGGGACGGGGCCTGGAGC